CCTAGCCCAGTGCCTTGACCCACTTACTTCCCAGCTCCACCCTCCACCAGGATAACCCTTCACATCTGCCAAGTCCCTTCAGAAAATCTGACAGCTTGTATCTTAAGCTTTCTTGGCTTCAGTTATTCCAAACACGTCAACTGCTGACATTTTTTTCTTCTGACCAGTGTCCATTACGTTTAGTTGTACTGTCTCCAAGGGAAGGTGACGTGTCCTGTAGAACTCCTATATAGATTATGTTTTCCTTTCTGCCTCTTTGCTATTATCCGAGGTGACCTTGCCCGGTGCGCAGCTTCCCGGCTTCCCTTCCGCCCAGGAGCATGTTCTCCCACCGATTTTTCTGTGTACCTGACGACACCCAATTCTGAAATGTCAATGACTTTAAGGAATACTAAGATTCTATTTTAAGGCTAGTAAGATTACAAATGATTTTTTTTAAAAGAAAATACTGGTTTATTTACAAAGTTTACAAGTGACTTTTTAAAATCTAAATATTTTGCTGCTTTTTCTTAGAATCTGCATTATTAAAATACTGAGGGATTTTATAATTTCTTATTTAACAATTTTCTTTATATTCGTGTTTAACAAACATAGCCAGTAGAGTATGTCAAGGAAGGGCCTAGTAAGTATAAGACTAAATCACATGTAATTAATATCTTCTCTAAGTCAAAGATCTGTTTAGATTTTTTAATCCAAAGCAAATAAAAGTCACTGTTGAAACTAAAATTTCAAAGTTATTTCCTATTAGTGGGAAGCACAAACACTTGTACCTAATTAAGAGACTCTGTACCATCACATATGTGTTCAATAGATTTACAAAAGCAAAGAGGCAGTATTTAGCACTGCCTGTAAAATCAAACACTCCATCCTAAGACCCCATACCATAGCTCTATTTTTTGAGACAGTGTGTGTTTTACATATCCTTGTCTATATGAGCAAGATATAAAGAAGATATGGAGGGAAGTTCTGGTGGCCTAGTGGCAAGAAGCTGCACTGCAATCCCAGAGACGTGCAGTTCGAATCCACCAGATGCTCTGCTGGAGAAGGAGGGACAATCTCCTCCTGTACCTGTCAGATCCTATTTGATGGTACACACACACACACTAATAATAAAAAAGGAGCATATATGGTAAGGATGAAATGCAAAGACTTGGGACACTGCTTGACACCTAGTAAGCACATAATAAGATGAGAGTGATTACCATTATTATAATTTTTAATAGTAAAGGGACACATCAAATACATATTTCAGAATTCTGGAATCAGACTGTAGGACAATCTGGATAGAAGAGATTCTTTACCTAGCAACTGTGTGAGATACAATTCGTTCATACTCCATGGTTTACAGGAACTGTATATTTGCAAAATTTTATCTATTCTTCAGGAAACAACTCAGTACTGAACTTTAATCAAAAAGGTGCACTCAACATTGAATGGTGTATATTTTAATTTGGAAATTATGCAAAATACTAAAGATCTTACCGTCTCAAAAAATATTTCCATCATGCGCGTCCTCTTTTCTTCTGCACTCAGTCCTTTTTTCTTTGACTAAAGCACAAAAGTAAAAAAAGTAAACATTCCATCTTACAACAACCTAGGTCTGAAATGTCATCTGAAATATTACACATGGTCTTATTTGCTACTAGTTGAGGTTCAATTTCTTAGAGCTAATCTTTTAACCCTACTCCCCAATTACTGACACAGGTTCAAAAGACTACATCATGCAAAAATTGGCATTATGTGTATATGGAGGATGATCACATCCCACACCCCTCTTCACTTATCTGTCAACACCCTGCAGGCCACTGCCCTGCTGTGACCAACTGCCACTGCCATCTCCTGGAAAGCTCAGTTCATACTCCTACCCCTACAGGGGATGGCCACCCAGTCTTCACCAGCTCTATCCCCAGAGTGAGTTTCCTCCCCTCACCATATTTTCAAGGTAGATGACCATAGTCATCCCTCAATAACTGCCCAAACATCACTGGTAGATTTTTCAGGGGTAGAGGGCTCCCTGCCCTTGGGCAGGAGAATCACGGGGATGGGGGAGGGGGTGTGCATCCTGTCAAGTGGATCCCCCTCTAGCCCCTCAATACAGTATCCTCTGGCTTTCACTGGATGGACTTGTACCATTTTGAGCTAGTGTCCTTATGAAAATCTATAGTTCAGAGCTTCCTTTGAGGGACTAACAACAGATTCAGCCTCTGACATTGACTCTCAACTGCTGCTGGACAAACACTATAGGATGGTTACTGGTGTACATGTAGGCAGAGTGGCAGATAAGATGACAAGGGTTTTCCAAGGTCACATTAAGGAAGGCTGACTGTTTAACTGATGAAGAGCAGACTCCCTTCACTCCCTTCTATACAATGAGAAGCATCTCAAGCCAAGGAATGACATTCCTTCAAGCTCCTAAAATTCCTATCTTACCTTAAAAGCTTAATCACTAGAATGATGAGCAACTTTAATATGACAATTATAGTAGCAACATGGAAGGTTGTTGCTGTGTACTGACCCACAGCTGACCCTCCAGCAGGTTTTCAGAGGCAGTTAATTGCATGGGAAGAGATTACCCATTCTTGTCCCACAGGGCAGCTGGTGGATTTGAACGATTTGCCTTTGGGGCTGCAGCACATTTCTAGGCCTTCAAAGTTCTGTGTGGGATGTAGGCTAGAAAAGAACCTAGTCTTGCAGAAAACTTGGAACTCATCCACTGATAGCTGGATTATGGCAAGAAGCTGTACTGCAATCACGAAAGTACACAGTTCGAATCCACTAGCTGCTGCTCCATGGAAGAAGGATGGGAAATCTCCTCCCTTGTGATTAACTGTCCTTGAAAACCCACCAGAGAGTCAACTATGGATCAGCTTCCAAGTCGATGGTACACAACAATAGATTTTTTTAGTAATTATTTAAAAACACTCAAAGTAAACTTAAAATAAAGATTGACTCAATCCAACCAAACGTTCAGTCAAAACAAGTTAATTTACAATACGTATAAAATGTGAAACTAAAAAAAAAAAAAAAAAAT